ATATAGAAAATTTTGTTTTGACACTAAATTTCTATAGAAAATTTTGTCTTGACAAAAAACTCTTCAAAAAAAGATGTCATGTCATTAACTTTTTAGAAAATTTTGCCCTGACATACATACATTTCTTTAGAAAAATATATCTTATACATATTTTTTTGGCTGAAATTTAGACATTGCTTTGACAGACAATTTTGCTTTTATAAAGTTTTGTCTTGACATAAAATTTCCGTAGAAATTGTGTTGGCATAGAGTTCCTACAGAAAATTTAACTGTCCAAAAAAAATATTATGTTAATTTTTTTTTACAATTTTTCTTTAAAGACATTTTATGATAAAGTAAAATTTCTATAAAAATTTTAGAAAATTATTTCTTGACATAAAATTTCTTTAAAGAATGTGTTGATATTATATTTCAATGATATAAAATTTCTATAAACAATTTTATTGTAAATTAAAATTTCTATAAAAAATTTTGTCATGACAAAAAATGTGTTTTTAAGAAAACTTTTGAATGCATTTTTTGAAAAAGTGGTAGCGAAGTTTTTGAAACTAAAGTTAGTAAAATATAATCCATCTTGAAATTTTTAAGTAATTAATTTTGTTAAAATAAAAAAAATTAACGTAATTAATAAAAAATTAAATTTTAAACAGAAATTAACTAATTCAAGAATTCTTTACAAATGATAATTGTGTGTAAAAATACATATATAATAAACCTTTTGTTACATATGTGACTGCTGTACTACAATTTAGGGCGCATGACCGAAATTATGGTAACAGAAAAAAAACGGGCGTATAATATGTATACATTATAAATTTTTTGGGGTTATTGTGCGAACCTTAATAACCGGGACAAGCTCTATACTATGTACTTTCGTATTTAGAATATATAGACACAGACATTCGAACATACAAAAATTAATGAGAACACAGAAGAGTGCAGAAAGGAAAATGTGGAAACAAAACAAAATTGTAAATTATATACACAACCAGCCCTGCAATTGGGGGATAACTGTTTCGGTTTTCAGCAATAAATTTGAGTCAATCAATTTGTTAGACATTTAGGGAACTCACTGAAATAACGATTGATTACCCGATAGATTATTTGGGGACATTAATGTGATTTTTGATTTTGGATTGATTAGAAGAGACACTAAAGTGATGAATGACTCCAAGTTTATTGGCCGAAAAGTAAGTTGTAAATTGTACTCAACGTAGTTTTCGATATTTGAAGTCAAATACTGTACTGTATTATCGATGTATTGACCCCTTTTTAAACCGCCGGAAAATGTACTACAGATGTGTGTTTTGTTTTTGTGGAATTAAAGAATAGTGAAAAACTACTACCACCTACCAGGAGTAAACAGAATAAAAAGAACAAAGAAAAATAAAATAGTTATAGTAAATATAATTCGAGTATATAATACTACATATGATGGTTCATATAACTATGAAAATGCCAAAGAGTAGGAGGTTAAGGATGACGGTGGCGCCAGTACGGCAAGTGTGTTTTGACTTATCATATGTTCGGGAAAAACAGAATAGACAGTGGAGCAAAATTACAAATTTTCTTAAGACATTTTAAATCACAACACACAAATTTCTAAAGAAATTTTATGTCAAGACAAAAATTTTTACAAAGAAATTTTATGTCAAGACAAAAATTTTTATAAAGAAATTTTATGTTAAGACAAAAAAATTTCTAAAGAAATTTTAAGACAAAAAATTTTCTAAAGAAATTTTATGTCAAGGCAAAAAGTTTTGTAAAGAAAAATTTATGTCAAGACAAAAAAATTTCTAAAGAAATTTTATGGCAAGACAAAAAATTCTGTAAAGAAATTGTATGTCAAGATAAAAAATTTTCTAAAGAAATTGTATGTCAAGACCAAAAATTTTCTTAAGAATTTTTATGTCAAGATAAAAAATTTTCCAAAAAAATTTTATGTGAAGACAAAAAATGTTTTAAAGAAATTTTATGTTAAGACTTTTATTTTTGAAAATTAAGGTCAAAGGTCAAATTTATCTTAATGAAAAAGAAGATAGTATAAGAATATAAATAGCTCCACTGTTAAATAACATAATTTCAAGTGGGTGCTGGTGGGTGGTTTTTGGTAAATTTCGTTGGTGATATTGAAAATAAAACAAACAACAATCAGAGTGTTCCAAAGAGGGTAGTTTTTCTGCTAGCATGTTTTTTTTTTTCTTTTTTTTGTATGCCCTCGATGTACGGGAAAACTGGAAAATGGATCGATATTTAAAATGACTATAGAAGAAAAGAAAGAAAATATTATACACCATTCCAAGTGTTCGCGTATGTTTCAATATCCCTTGTTTTTTTTAACAATTACAACAGTTTCCAAAATAACAGGCGCCGTTTTCGATAAGCTGTTACATTTACATAAATAATACTAGGAGTAATGGGAGTATATTTTTTCCAATTCTATGGTTTATTCTTGTAAAATAAAATAAAAAAGCCTTAGAAAAAAAATTCCACATTTCATATAGGTTAAATAGTTTGCTAAAATTTCTGTAAACCTACACCAATATTTCAATAGTTATCATACGAAAAAATATGATAAAATTAAATATATCTTAAACCTAAGACAAAACTTTTAATTTATTTATTTAAGAAAACTCAAAACTCAACAATTTTATCTTAAGTAAAACTAGTTTAAATTTTCATCTATTTTACCTTAATAAATGAATAGAAGGTCATTAACCTTTTAGTGTATATATTTATTTTCTCAAACACTCAAAACCGACAACTAGTACATCGTATGTATATAAGCTACTAGCAGCAATAAGAAAATCTTTTGGAAAGAAATATTTGGGTCGAGTAGGTGGGAATGGGTCTGAATATTTATAATATAGTTAAAGACTTGTATACCGTTTAAAAATGCACTTCATACACTTTTGCAACGTCACCATAAGTCAGGCAAGGCTGTCGGTCTGTCGTTCGTTCGGTCTTTGAGTGATGGGTGCGGCATCAGCAAATTTATTTTATTTCCTTAATAGTAGAGAGTAGAGTAATAGTTGTAGTAGTTACAAATAATATTCCATCCTTAATTGTTTTAGAAAGAGAGACCATGAATATTTACTTTTGTTTTTGTAGTATTTTGTGTAAAAAAAAACGACCTGATTTTACATGTTATAGTAGTAAACAATTTTATTTAATATTTAAGGCGGCATTTACAAATTTTAAGCTCTTATTTTTTTTTTTTTTTTGCTATTTTACCACATGATAGATCAGGTGTTTATATCAGAATTTTAAATTTACTGCCATTTTTGTCTTCACAAAATGTCTAGGAAAATTTTCAACATTTTTGTCTTGACATAAAATTTCTTTAGAAAATTTTTTGTCTTGACATAAAATTTCTTTAGAAAATTTTTTGTCTTGACATAAAATTTCTTTAGAAAATTTTTTGTCTTGACATAAAATTTCTTTAGAAAATTTTTTGTCTTGTCGTAAAATTTCTATAGAAAATTTTTTGTCTTGACATAAAATTTCTTTAGAAAATTTTTTTATCTTGACATAAAATTTCTTTAGAAAATTTTTTGTCTTGACATAAAATTTCTTTAGAAAATTTTTTGTCTTGACATAAAATTTCTTTAGAAAATTTTTTATCTTGACATAAAATTTCTTTAGAAAATTTTTTATCTTGACATAAAATTTCTTTAGAAAATTTTTTGTCTTGACATAAAATTTCTTTAGAAAATTTTTTGTCTTGACATACAATTTCTTTAGAAAATTATTTGTCTTGACATAACATTTCTTTAGAAATTTTTTTCCTGACATAAAATTTCTTCAGAGAATTTTTTGTCTTGACATAAAATTTCTTTAGAACATTTTTGATATTGACATAAAATTTCTTTAGAACATTTTTGATATTGACATAAAATTTCTTTAGAAAATTTTTTGTATTGACATAAAATATCTTTAGAAAATTTTTGACATTGACATAAAATTTCTTTAGAAAATGTTTTGTCTTGACATAAAATTTCTTTAGAAAATGTTTTGTCTTGACATAAAATTTCTTTAGAAAATTGTTGCAGACATTTCTTTAGAAATATTTTTGTCTTGACAGGAAAATTTCATTAGAAAATTGTTTATCTTGACATAAAAATTTGTACAATATAAAACTCCTTTAAAATTGGTTTGTATTGAAATAATTTTTAGTTTATAAAAATTTAACACTAAAAAACGAAATATGTATAAATAAACAGCAAACTAAATAATAATTAAAAAGCCTTCAGACATCAGAGTTTAAACATTAATATGATTAAAAATCTTTAGGTAATTTCGACCTACGACAATATTGTTTACACACAAAAATCAACAAAAGCTTGAAATGAAACATGCAGCACATGATAAAAGGCGGTTGGATCAGTTTTTCAGATGCAGTATTTTCAAAAACATTAAGCATTGAAAAGAAACGTATAAGCTCACACATGTCTGAAGCAACTTGGGAATAGTATATCATATTTTGTTTAAACTTTTTTTTTATTTTTAACTTTGTGTCCTTCAATGTGTGTTCTTGTATAAGTTTTTAAGTTACTGACAAAGATTGTAGCAAAGTATAAATGAAAAAGAGAACAAAAATACTTGAAATATTTACCTACATATATACACACATACATACATGTTGCAGCAAAATTATGAATAAAAATTCAAGTACCTCGTCTACACTTTATAAATGCGTGACGTAGTATACGAAGTCGTAGTAGTAGCAACAACCAGCGGCTGAATATTGCATAAATATTTTTATATGTGTATGAATAACCATATGATTTAGCACAGATTTTAATTCATAAACAATTATCAAGGACTAATAAATCTGATAATATTCATTTAAGAGTTTTCCGGCAACATCAAGGACTTGTATTTTATAATTTTCTTTTATTGCCGCCACAAACTTCTAAATAAATATTAACTTCTTAACACACAAATCGTGTGAGTATTGTTAAACTACATATATTTAATTAATTTGTCAACACACTTACCTTACTCAATTTTTCACCTTCATGACGTGGTAGTAATAAACGTAAATTTTGAAAACCGGCATTAATACTTTGCATACGTCTCCGTTCGTTACTGTTAGCGATTTCACGTCGCATACGTTTTTCATTTTCAATTGTGGTCTTGTTAATGGGCGGTGGCGGTGGCAGTGTACCGCATGCTAATTTTGTACCACTCATACTATTACCTCCTCCGGTTGTCGATGACATTGAATTGCTGTTAAGACGTTGACGTGATTTAATAGTTGTGTGTGTTTCTTCGTATGCTTGACCGTCGCCCGGTATTATATAGGATTCTCCTCCAGAGTCATCTAGTTGTAATCTGAGAGTAAAAAAAAAAAACAAAATATATATTTTAAGTACATTTGAAATTAAATTGAACAAAAGGTACTATTTGTCCTAAATTAAGACTAAGATTGAAGTATAAGTTTGATCAAAGCTAAGATCAGTGTATAGACTAGGCCATTGAAAAATATATAGTCGAGATTTCGTCGATTATACACGTCGATTATATAGACTAGAGTACAGAATATATCATTGCCCAGACTATAGACTAGTTTATAGACCAGACTATTTAGGAAAATCATGTCTATAGACTGGATAAAAGATTAGACTATAATCCAAATTATGGACCAGACTATAGACTAGACTACAATTCCGATTATAAACTAGACTACACAACATACTACAGACTAGATTATACACGGGATTATAGATTACATTATACTAGACTGCAGACTATACTATAAACCTGCCTAGACTAGACTACAGACCATATTATTCACAAGACTATAGTCAAGAATATAGACAGCATTATAGACTAGACTATAGATTAGACTATAGACTAAACTGTAGACTTGACTAAACTATACACTAGACTATAGACTGCACTATAGACTAGACTTTATACTATAGACTAGACTATAGACTATACTATAGACTAGACTATAGGCTAGACTATTGACTAGACTATTGACTAGACTATTGACTAGACCATTGACTAGGCTATAAACTAGACTAAATACCAGACTATAGACCACATTATTCAAAAGACTATAGACCAGAATAGAGACTATTTATTTATTTGGTGCAGCAACCAAAAAATTAACAGAACATATTATTCACAAGACTATAGTAAAGACTATCGTCAAGAATATAGACAGCATTATAGACTAGACTATAGATTAGACTATAGACTAAACTGTAGACTTGACTAAACTATACACTAGACTATAGACTGCACTATAGACTAGACTTTATACTATAGACTAGAATTTATACTATAGACTAGACTATAGACTAGACTAGACTATAGGCTAGACTATTGACTAGACTAAAGACTAGGCTATAGACTAGACTAAATACCAGACTATAGACCACATTATTCAAAAGACTATAGACCAGAATAGAGACTATTTATTTATTTGGTGCAGCAACCAAAAAATTAAGTATTAAAATTATTATTTAACATAATTCTAGATAAAACTTCCCCAGTACTAGAAAAAAATTTAAACGATATCCAGTTCCTACTAAATTCATTTATAAAACCTTAAAAAAATTATTAAAAATTGATACAATTTCGCTATAAATAGCTATGCCATTCAAATCAATTTACAATGTAACTTTTATTATTTGTTGCAATTTATTACAGTGATTATCTGCGGTGTCTGCATCTGACTGTTGTTGTTGCTTATTGTTGGCTTAAAAAAGTTGCAAAACTACATTCCTTTTTAATAAAGAACCAAACATTATTTTTTCGATTCGTGTGAACTGCTCGACGACTATGTAAAACCACATATTTTCTATTTGTTTTGTAGCATTATTCTGTTTGTACACACATACATACATTGTGGTGGTGCTGAGTTAGATGAAGAGGAATTTGATTGCATGATAGAAACAAAAAAATAAAGATTTCTAATGCAGTTGCAAAGCGAAGTTGGTCTTTCTCTCTATTTCTCTCGAAGCAGACATCAATTTACAATGTTTATTTTTAGATCATTCGAAATTTTTGCGGAAAGGTCGTTTAGTAGTTTTGTTTTTGCCAGGTATACTTTTTACTGCTTTTTGATGTTTAATCTATCTATATATTTAAAAAAAATCTGGTAACACTCACAAACATTCTTAAAATATACTATGTTGCAGCAGTGTTGTGCAATAAAAAGTTTATATACAATCATGTTTGTTTTCCGAATATCTTGTGTATACCTATTCTTGTTATATTTTCCTTTTAAAGCTCTCATTTTAATACATTGTTACAGTTTATGGCGAATTGATTTCTTGTAAAATATTCGCCTTAAAATTGCCCACACACAATAAAGCAAATTCCAAGGCAACAAAGCTAAAGCAGGCAAGAGAAAACAGCATCATTCATCACCAAACATATGTACTACTCGACTAATCCAACGTCATCATTAATAATGAACCAAAATTTCAGAAACCCCACTAGCCTGGTGCTAATGCTGCTGCAGTCAAACAATCATGCAACCAACCGAAAGACCAACCAGCTTTATAAGCAAACACAACATAAAGCAGCTGACATATAATAACAATTTGTATGTGTACAAACAACATGAAAAACACTGTCAGTCAGTGTATGTATGTGTGTGTGCAACATATTAAAAGGTGAATGAAACTGCATTCCATTCCAATGAAAATTCCATTGCATTCTAGCACAAATATTTTTTTCTGTTTACATTTGGTTGTTTGGCTGTTTATATTTGTTTTTCTTACTTCCATCCGTACCTACTAATAGCAGAAGCATGATTCTTCTTATGTTTGCGGCTGTTGGCAAGTTTTGAGTATATTTTATTGTTGTTCTTCCATATTTTCCATCTAGTTGTTGGAGTTTATATCTGAGCTTCCTTACAGAAATAAATACATATGTATTAAAAATTGTTGTATTTAGTTTTATTTTATTTTAGATTTCGAAGATTATAATTGGAACCTAAGCGGAACTAGAAAGGTAACAAAACAAAAGCAAGAGGTTTCTTTATAAGAATGTACAAGGTAATCACAGTTTTTACTTGCCGATTTTACATGGTCTTAAGAAAAAGAAAAGAGTTCTAGTTCAGTTTTAGTTCGCTTCTAATTTAGTTCTAGTTCAGTACTAGTTTAGTTCTAGTTCAGTTCAAGTTCAGTTCTAGTTCAGTTCTAGTTCAGTTCTAGTTCAGTTCTAGTTCAGTTCTAGTTCAGTTCTAGTTCAGTTCTAGTTCAGTTCTAGTTCAGTTCTAGTTCAGTTCTAGTTCAGTTCTAGTTCAGTTCTAGTTCAGTTCTAGTTCAGTTCTAGTTTACTTCTAGTTCACTTCTAGTTCAGTTCTAGTTCAGTTCAGTTCTAGTTCAGTTCTAGTTCAGTTCTAGTTCAATTCTAGTTCAGTTCTAGTTCAGTTCTAGTTCAGTTCTAGTTCAGTTTCTAGTTCAGTTCTAGTTCAGTTCTAGTTCAGTTCTAGTTCAGTTCTAGTTCAGTTCTAGTTCAGTTCTAGTTCAGTTCTAGTTCAGTTCTAGTTCAGTTCTAGTTCAGTTCTAGTTCAATTCTAGTTCAGTTCTAGTTCAGTTCTAGTTCAGTTCTAGTTCAGTTCTAGTTCAGTTCTAGTTCAGTTCTAGTTCAGTTCTAGTTCAGTTCTAGTTCAGTTCTAGTTCAGTTCTATTTCAGTTCTAGTTCAGTTCTAGTTCAGTTCTAGTTCAGTTCTAGTTCAGTTCTAGTTCAGTTCTAGTTCAGTTCTAGTTTAGTTCTAGTTCAGTTCTAGTTCAGTTCTATTTCAGTTCAAGTTCAGTTCAAGTTCAGTTCTAGTTCAGTTCTAGTTCAGTTCTAGTTCAGTTCTAGTTCAGTTCTAGTTCAGTTCTAGTTCAGTTCTAGTTCAGTTCTAGTTCAGTTCTAGTTCAGTTCTAGTTCAGTTCTAGTTCAGTTCTAGTTCAGTTCTAGTTCAGTTCTAGTTCAGTTCTAGTTCAGTTCTAGTTCAGTTCTAGTTCAGTTCTAGTTCAGTTCTAGTTCAGTTCTAGTTCAGTTCTAGTTCAGTTCTAGTTCAGTTCTAGTTCAGTTCTAGTTCAGTTCTAGTTCAGTTCTAGTTCAGTTCTAGTTCAGTTCTAGTTCAGTTCTAGTTCAGTTCTAGTTCAGTTCTAGTTCAGTTCTAGTTCAGTTCTAGTTCAGTTCTAGTTCAGTTCTAGTTCAGTTCTAGTTCAGTTGTAGTTCAGTTCTAGTTCAGTTCAGTTCTAGTACAGTTCTAGTTCAGTTGTATTTTAATTCTAGTTCAGTTCTAGATCTTGTTCAGTTCTAACTCTTGTTCAGTCCTAAATCATTTGAATTTCAATTCTAAATTACTTAAAACTTCTGTTCAGTGAGGTCCTTGGATATCATTCAGTATAACTTGTACTTTTTATAGCCACTTTTACAATTACCAATTGTTGTCCCCATTAAGTAATTATATTTACAACAACATTACAAACTTCTACATTAAAACAAGAGAAAAAAAAAATAAAAAACAAAAACACAATTACAATTGCAATTTACCGGGCAAACGTCATTTCTCTTGAATAAAACACTAAATAGGTCAAGAAACCCCGGGAAAAATCAATGCTGATGACGTCAAATATGACCTAATACTCTAGATATTTATTTAAAATAAAAAGGATAAAAAACGAATAATGTATTTTTAAACATTTTCCACTCAATATATACTCTGACAACCACATTTTTTTTACATATTATAGATATGTACATATATTATATCCTTAATGCTAACTAACCAACCAACATACTATTGGAAATTATAATAAAACAACACAAAGTTGTCTTTTGCAACCTTCACCTACTGCTGACAATTACTGCTGCATATTTGCATGGAGAACTGGGTTGACAAAATTGAAAATGTTTAGTAAAGGATTAACAAATTTTATTCTACATTTATTTAAAAAATTTTATAAATTCAGCTGTAGTTTTAACTTAACAACGCCAATAAATTGGCATAAAAAAAATAGCCCTAAAAAGAGTCTCTTTTTAGGGCTATTTTTCAGATCATATAAAAATGTTCCAATTATTTGTTATTTTTTTAAACAGCTGAATAGGTTTGTTTTGATTTAGACTAACCTCAACAACAAACAAAAAACATATGATTAGAGAGAGAGGGCGCCAATTTTATAAAAAATAAATAAAACAAAATATCTCCACCCTACATCCCCTTCCCAACCAATAACCCTTCTCAATTGTAATAAACATCAACACAACTATGCAGGCATGTTTTTTCTAAATTTATTACAGTGTTAGTGTCATTTATTTTTATATTTTGCATGAGATAACTGTTAATATTGTATTGTGAGAAAGAATGATGA